TTAATATAAGTTTAACATAACAGCAAATGTACAACGTTTCGTTAAACTCATATTAAAGTTTTTCTTCATTACCCATTCAAGCCGTCTCCAGCCATTATTAGAGAAGCTTTAAATGTTTTCTACGCCAAGCAAATTTTACAAAAAAAATAAGCAAATATTTACGATCATGTGAAATCAGTATTCTGCAAATCTTAAGATGTTTTCATCCTATTGTTTATTATTACAAAAAGAAAAGTTTTATAAGTAATGTTGAAATGGCATTTTGCATATAAAATGAAATATAGTTTTACTAATCTTTTGACCCCCCCCCAAGTGGCACAGCGGCATGTCTGCGGACTTACAACACTAGAAACCGGGTTTTGATACCCGTGGTTGGCAGAGCACAGATAGGCCATTGTGTAGCTTTGTGCATAATTACATCTTTTGGTTCTCTTTCAACACAACCAAAGTTTAACTAGTAGGCAATGGTACCTAGCTGATGAATTAATGTCTTCTAATCATTATAAGTTTTATCTGATGATATTATATTCTTCTGGTTAGACCAGTACATTAAATTATCTAGATTGTTTATTAAGTTAACTGTTAGTTCTGCTGTATGAAGTTAGACTATTTTGATTATAACTATCTTGTTTCTAATGTTTTTATAAAATTATTTATTCTAGTGATTGAGAATGATAGACCCAACATGGCCAGGTGGTTAGGGCGCTTGATTCCTAATCTGAGGGTCGCGAATTTGGATCCCCCTCCCACCAAACATGCTCGCCCTTTCAGGCATGGGGGCGTTATAATGTGATGGTCAGTCCCACTATTCATTGGTAAAAGAGTAGCCCAAGAGTGGAAGATGACTATCTGCCTTCTCTCTAGTCTTTCACTGCTAAATTAGGGACGGCTAGCACAGATAGCCCTCGTGTAATTTAGCACGAAATTAAAAAACAAACGAGAAAGAAACGTTATTCTTCGTTTTGTGTCTAAGCGCCGAATTTCACCTAACAGACGAAGACGAGGACCATCAAAAAAAATTGACTAAGTTTTAGTAAGGAGTAAAATGTAAAACTCGATCTTGAAATTCCTATATCTTTCTTACTTTTTGTCCTATTTTGTTTGTCTCATCATTCAGACAACAAAACAAGCAATTATGTTTCATCATTATTGACACGTATATGAAGACTATTATTTTTGGGTCAAAATTATTATTTCTTATATCATTAAAATGTCTAAGTGGCTTTGTTTTAGTAACTTTCCGAAGATTTTTTTAATAGCAATACCAAACACATATTTCAACCTTGTATATATTGCTATTTATGTACTGTATACAATGTTAAAATGCGGTTTAAAGTAAACAAAATTATTATATGAACCATTTAATTTATTTATTCAGACTGTCATCACAGGCTAGTAATAGTGTTGTCACTTTTTTTAGATTCGATTCGGAGTTCTAAATAAAATTTATAATAAGCATATGCGTGTGTGTGTGCTAAACAAAGTAAATTATAACTTTTGCAATTCGAGAAATAATTATATATGCTTTTGTAGAAATATATTTACTTTTTAACAAAACCTATAATGACGGGCTCTTTTATCACTTTGATACATTCCTTGAATATTTGTTTCTTTGTTCAAACGTTCAAATTAATGATATTTGCAAACCTCATTTAAACTAACATTGATAAAATCCACTAAAATCAAAATGATATAACCTACTTTTCGAATAACATTTAAATGTGGTTAGAAGAGCCTGTAATTTAACCTTTTATAGCAATCATCATTAGGAGCAACCTCGACGATCGCCAGAATCTTTTACTCAAAGATTCTCGATCAGCAAAGTGATTCAGAAATCTGTCTTATTTGAATTTCATTGCACCAATTTCCAAAAAAAAAACTGGAGTGCGTGTGACACGTGCAGGTGAGAACCAATAAACATTATTTGAAGTGCTCTCTCCACATTAACCAAGCGTGGTTTGTACCAAGTGATGGACACGGACTGCACGTGCGTCTTCGATGTGCAGTATGAACTGTCTGCTTGGCAATAAGAGGCCAATTTATGAAAGCTTGGGTGTGAAAATGTGTAACTCGATTCCGTTAAATAGGGGACAATCCAACTAGTTTTGAAGTTAGTTAATATCAAACTCTGCAAATAAATTAAAAATAATTGGCACTTTTTACGGAGTTGGTGGTTATATTTCTGGTTTTGATGTACATTTTATGGCATACCTAATAATACAATGTTATGAGAAACCGGAATACAGAACATTAAATCCAAACGACTTTCACAGTCTTTTCTTTGATGTAACATTCTTGGTGTTTTATGTGTCGGTTTAGTCATTGGTCTAGAAAGAACCCGGATGAAGTAACGTAAAAATCCCCATAAGATATTGTCGTGGGTTCGGTCCAATATAATAATGCATACCTTCATGTTAGATAGCCTAACAATTTGGAAGGTGGGGTGCCTGTCGTAATGCTGTATTAAACCTCTCTGGTTGACATCGCTGTTTGTATTCGTTTTTCACAGCACGTGACATTGTAACCAGCCATCTTCTAAACAACTGATGTTATTTGTGAAACGTTTAATTGGACTACCTCTGTGACAATGATTGCCTGGTTACTCTGTTTGACAATGAGGAGTCGTAAAATCCTTTATGAGAACTAAAAACTGCCTAAAAATACGTGATTTAACTACATTTAGCCATACAAAAATTAAAGTCGGACTTGAGCTCCAGTCTTGAGTGATGCTATAAACTACAAAATGGATGATTAAGAACGTATAAATTCGAGGGGAAAGTACGATACTACACAATAAACAAATTAATATGAATAAAATGTTTACCACATTCCATGTTTATTAGCATGTTTTTAATTTATAGTTTTAAGTTTAATAAGAATGGTGCAACAGTACATCGGGTTGACTTATGTCATCGTTACAGAGTTAAATTTATTATTATTATTTTAGCTGTGGAAATCAAAATAACTTATGATTCTAATTTACTTTTATATTTTGAACGATGCTAGAATCTATAAATAACAAACTCAGTGCTTTTATTATTTCTATTAGATTTTGTTTCATAATTTTGCACGAAGCTACACGAGGCCATTCCTGACTTTTTTCCCTCCCAGAGGCTCGCTCAGCGATACGTCTGAGGGCTTTAACAATAAAAATCTGGTTTCGATACTCTCGACGGGCATAG